TATATATTTATGTGTACATATATATCTTTTAAATCTCACACAAATATATATGTGTATATATATCTCGATAATATATAGTCTAATTTCCAGATGAGAGAAAAACAATCGCACAATTATGTGCAATTCGCAGAAACAGAATATTTCTCGTCAGTACTATCTTCTCCCATTAGTTTCGTACGCAAATATTTCGTCTGTGTCACATTTTCTTAAGATTTGCCTTTAACATAAGTTAACGATAAAATTTAAATTAGTTAAAACACACGTATTTTACATGACGTATGTTTTTTTTTATATTGTGTGTGTGTGTGTACGCGCGCGCGCGTCATATACACACACACACACATACATGTAATTACATGGATTTTAATATTAGTTTGTCACACACGCGCACGCTGCCATGATCGCAGCAATCCCTCGGTAAATAAAATAAATTATATGCAATAATTCTATACCAATATAATATATGTATATTCGATACTGTCGTATCGCGTTTTTATTTATTCTATATATATATATATATGTATAGCTTTCTCTTCTTATCTTATCTTTACGTTACAGTCAATATTTCGAATGCGATCAGAGTCCTCGTGTGTGCCGTAGTCGTGAAATTGTAGTTACATCGAGTCATACCGTCATGCATCCAAAGTAGGCCATCGTAATTGCGCTATCATTACTTCGATGCACAAATTGGAAATGTACATTTGCAAAATGTGCTACATGAACCATGTCCAAAAGATCGTCGATCGGCCCTGTGAAAAATAAGCGGCACACTACAGATTTACGATAATCAATTAATCAAGCATATTGTGCCGACGTGTCCATTTTGCCATGTCCATTTTGAAAATGAAACTAGTTGAAAAATCGAGAATCTCTTTTAAATAATAATACAATTGTACATCATAGTGTTTCCATTTGACCTATTCAAACCTATTATACGTCATGAGATTTAACTCGTATCATGTTCAGAATAAATAGATCGCACACATATTATCGGACGCTGATCGATTCTTTTCAGAGAAATATCCCTAAGCTCTGGATCCCTGCCGCCGCAGAGTCCGTATCGATAAACTGTATGATGCAACACATTGCACATATACATTTAATAAGAACATTGCTCGTTAATATACATATGTACAGTGGCAATATAATACTTCCTCGATTCGCTAGTCAGTTCATTCGCCACGTCTCGCGCTTTCTCGTCATTATTTAATTGTGATTCACCTAAATCTTCGCTGTATTCTATAATACATGTTTGCGAGAATATCGCTCTCCTCGTTCGAATCTCTATCGTAGGACCTCGTGATAATGGACGTTCCACTGTCGCGAATACACGTCAAATTTGCATCATTTTGTATTTGGAATACCTCTAATACTAGTGAAAATTTTTCTCATTGTCAGAATTTTTATATAAATTAACACTTTTCAGAAATACTGAGAAAGTTTACATTTTTATTATATTTTTCATATATATATATATATAAACTCTGAAAGATTTCTAAGATTTCTAAAATTTCTCGTTCTATAATTTCTGAAAAACGTATCTTTTTCAGATTTTATAAGATTTTATCAGAAATTACAGAATGAGAAATCTTAAATATCTTAGAATATTTTAGAATTTACATACATGAAGAGTTTCAGAAAAGATATAGATCTGCCGACTTTTCCAATATTTTTAAAGTATTCCAATTTGTATTAAAAAATCTGAGAAATTTTCTAAAAAGTTCAAAATTATTCAAAAACTCTAAAAAAAACTTTGAAATTTACATAAAAATTATGAAAAATTATATAAAAAATTTTTACGAAGGAACGCGATGCACGTCCAATGCGTTTCGCCAAATTCGACCGCAACTCCGTCACGAATCCCATGCGATGTAAACGACGTGGCGATTTGAAACATTGTTTAGAAAAATATGCTAACTTCTTTCTCATGGCTCGAAAGCTGTCCCTCCAGATTCTACTTGTTCGATCTTCTTTCAGTACGAGTGTAAGTACTCTGCTAACTAGTCCGTTAAACTAATATAAATTGATTGAATCATTACGAACTGTATTAAGTCACTCTTCAAGCTTCACGATTAGTAATTTTATGCTTTTTGTCATGGATCATAACTTATTTTGTCATAAGTAGACGATACAGCAAACTGCGATTTACAATTATCGTTGGATCATTAAATAATTTGGTATTTTTGCACTAAAACACACAAATCGATAATGCTCGTAATATATGTATGTATATCTTTATCTGCCGCTTCAACTCCCTGCGATACACGAAAGATCACGTACATTTCAGCTTTATTGCATATATAGACTCGAAAAATAATTTTATAGCGGTTTCGAAGAGAGAACTTAACTCTATTATATAAATTAACTCAGCTATTCGGTTAGCTATTCAGACAATCGCTAATTATTATCGTTGAATTGACATTCTTCGATGATTACAATGCCGCAAAGAATCAAGCGATGAGAGGAAATTTAAGCAGTCCTGTGACTGCTTAAGTAAAAGACTTGAGAACGTCCTTACAGAAATTTAATACTATACAGAAGGTAGCGATTAATTACTTATTTTAAATATTAAAAGCACTGTTATTCAGTACTTTTATTAATCAAAATAACTAATTTCCAGTATTAAATTGGATATCTGTAAGAGAGGGCGGCCATAAATAGCATTGCTAAATTTTCTTTAATACCCACGAATTATTGTATGAAATTCAACTTCAAATATGATCTACAGGATGTTCTCGGGTTAAACCATCAAACTTAAAATATTCAAGACTTCAAAACAAAAATTTCTTCTGGACGTATGCTCGCAAACGCTTCGTTCAAGAGATATTTACTTCTGAAGTTATACAGAACTGTAGGAATGAATAATTGAAATATCTCTTGTTTTTATTTTGAAGCTCGTTGAAGGTCATTGATAGGCTTTTGTTCGCAAAGCTCGTAGTTGTAGCTATTAGTTCATTGAATGCTTTTGTAGAATAAACTTATAATCATGCACTTCGTACATATTCTAATAGTGAATATGCCGATAGTATATTTATATGGATTTTGCGACGGAAATGCTAACGCTACTCGGCGTGAATACGCCGCGCGATTTCCGAACAGAGGATTGCCGGATAAATCAGTATTTTCTTTAACATTTCAATGACTGGAAGGAAACTGGGTTATATTTTGTACGGCGTGCTCTAAAGCAAAAAGTGTATGCAGTGTCTGTTAATGACTTTCAATCATTAAAACGAAAAATTGTGCAAGCGTGAGAAGAAATTACAGACGCACAATGTCAATCAGCCACTCGTTCTCTCATCGATAGATGTAATACTTGTCTCCGGCCTGGAGATCATTATTTTGAACAAAACATTTAATAATTAAATTTTGATTATTGTAAAGCAATAAAGAAGCTAGACCTTTATATTTCGACATTATTCATTCCTACAGTTCTGTAACTTCAGAAGTAAATATTTCTTGTACGTTTGCGAGCATACGTCCAGAAGAAAATTTTTGTTTGTTTTGAGGTCTTGAATTCATATTTTAAGTTTGGCGGTTTAATCCGGGAACACCCTGTAGAAGAGAGATGATGTTTGTTTTTGGCACGGGACGTATACAATCGACACAAACAATTTGGTGTATGCGTGACGATATAGTTCTTGTTGGTTTAAAATTCAAGCTCTCTCTCAATGTATTCAATGAATCATTTTTTACTCTTTTCTCCCTTTCTGTAAACTTCACGGCAATGCGGAATTCTTTTGCAATGTAACAGTAGAACTTCATCTTGCACGATGATCTCGTATGCGTGTGTGTGTACTTACGAGAATATATTACTATAAAGTATACAAAATATGAATGGCTATTTGAACAGGATAGAGGTACTTTCTCCCCAAGATTCCTTTCTACACATAAAAGCTACGAGCGATTTCAGCGTTAATTTAACAACACTCAAGCAATGCTCAGGTATGATATTCTTATCACAATATTGTCATACATCTCAAATCATTTCACTCTCTCCCTCTTTCACTAGCTCTCTTCTTAAATTTATCGATACATTAATTTTACGCAATTTTTAATAGACATTTTTCTTAATTCGTAAATTATTTAGAATAAAACGTTGTCACGTACACAACAACGATAATAATCTGCTCACTCATTCAAATCGTTTTCTCTTATAATCTTTTACATACACACACGCACGCACGCACGCACGCACGCACGCACGCACACACACATACATACGTATGTATATGTATCCATTCTTATCCTGTTTCTGATAAAATATAAGTTAAGACATTCTTTGAGAGAAATCTGAGTTTTCCGATATCTCTAATGTATAACATTCTTGTGTGTGCAGCGCTCGTTTTACAGAGCTTAGCACCTAATAGCGATAAAGGAGTTATTGATAACACATTCTGATAATGATGTTAATAAAAAAGTATATATAAGATAAAATCCTTCTGTAGATTACTAACAGTTCTAACATCATTAAGAAATTGATGTATTATCCCTCCTGCATAGCATGAGATGAACGGCTGATTTATATTCATAAATGATAATTTTGATGTGCATTTCATCGTCTCGGTTATTATTCAATTATCGCGTGACGATAAATGTTTAAGAAAACTGTTTGTAATATTTGATTTGACAAGAAAAATTCAATTATATAAAAAAAACTATACAAAAATATCATTTTAGTGGTTCTCGTATACCTTTTTACTACCTTTTTTATAAAGACGTGAAGTTATATGAGATCTATTAACTATAATTATAATAATTATAAAATTATCATAGTAATATTTTCTGTCACTTGATTACAATAACATAAAAACATAGTCAAAAATAAAAGAGCAATATATTAGACTTTGATTCACGTTCGCAAGTAAAATTTTTAACTATCTCGATGGACGATGAAAATAAAAATATATACATTTACTTTTCACCTCTGGAAGTATTCAATAAGAAATCAATATTTCTTCATAACGTTTTTTACATATCTAATAATATTCATATAGGTACAAATATCTATGTCGTAAAAATTTTGAATCATTTCCCTTCACTTTCTGCCGAATAAATTTTCTTCTACTCGAAGTTATTGTTAGATTTTCACTGGCATGAAGTACAACAGCATTAAATAATTAACAAATAATTATCCGTGAATCACTACAGGATATAGCACTAACGTAGATTTTGTCTCTCTTAATTTCAACATGTATATATACATATTCTGTTGCATAATGTACAGCAGAATATAAATCAGGATCTATTAAAGTTAATCATTATCGTTATCACATATATGACTTCTACTACCATAAATATAGGTAATGTTATCTATATCCATTCATAAAACTTATATTGCTGATGTACATAAATATGGAAATACATTAATTATTACAAGATAGATTCTAGAGCATTTGAAGCAGAAAATAATGAGTCACTAAGCGCGACTTAATCGTGTAGAAAAATATGATTTTTATTAAAATCCATTCTACACGTCAGCAATATAAGTTTATCGCCTCCAAAGATTGTCCTGCATTATGAATATTACCGAGAGATGTACTTTCTATGTTTGCCTTTCAACCGTTCGTACAAATAATATAATATGAGATGTCAAAGAGAAGAACCAGCGTTTAAGTAACAGCGAGATACAATAATGCGCACAAAATTATTGTTCTTAATATAGAAATATAGTATGGTTGTACAAAATATTCTTTGTAAGATTATCAATTCGTAAAGACACAAAACGTAAATGGCATAAGTACCATTCAGAACCATTATAAAACTATGATACATATCCATTATATATATAAAGTTACAATTATACAAATAAAATATAATACCCTATTATGGATATGCGTAAAAGTATCTATGAAACCTAATGTGTGCACAAGAATTGCCTGGTGAAAACTGTGACTTATACCACTCTTATTAAATGCAAGATAGCGTGGACTACAAGAAATGAAAAACATACAAAAAAATCTTCGTACTACATGTAGCGTTTTTACGCCATCTCCAAGTCATGACAACTAAAAAATCATAATTGAATAACCTAAGTTTAATTGGTACTATGTACAAGGGAAAAGGAACGATTTGGTCAGGTGGTGATTAGCAAGTCATTTGAAACACACCTGATTTGTCGAAAGCGACAAACGCCCTTTGGACCGAACAGAATTCTCACTCTATTCCTTTTTGCAAGGAGTAATATCATTAGCGTTACACGTAATTATCTTCAGTTATCTTTACGAGCCTTTTTTTTACTTTTTTTCTGTGGTTTTGCTTCTGTCCAAACGTCTAGAATACAAATTACAAGTAATTTAAATAAAATTACACAATTCGAAATAAAATCTCGTAATTTCTTCGTTAATTCAACAAACCTCCTAATTCGTCGAACATGGCGGTTTTCTCTTTATTTTCTACCACTTTATTTTCTTCCACATTGTTTACTTTTTCCGCATTCGCCGGCATTTTCTGCTGCTCTTCCGCGATAGGCTTATTATCTGTCTTTGGTGTAGATGGTACCGAAGCGGGTGTATTCTCGCCTTCAGAAGCTTTCTTATTCTTTTTCGATTTTCCAGATTTTTTCTCTTCCTTCTCGACTTTGTCAATCTGCGATCGAATGTTTCGTTTATAGATTGTCAACAAAAAAATTTTAATGCTATGTAAAATATACCTTGCTCTGTTCTTCTTTCTGTGGTTCCTTAGCTTTATCTATCTCCTCGCCGGAAATAGATGTGAGAATCACTTCCTTTTTCTCCTTCTCCTTAAGCTCCTTATTTTCAGTTTCCTTAGCAATCTTATCCTTGATTTCGGGCTTCTCTTGTTCTTTCTGTTTAGCTTCATTTATTATATCAGTCTTCTTGGAAGCTTTCTTGTTCTTCTTTGAAGGAGATTCCTCCTCCTTCTTCTTGTTCTTCTTATCCTTGCGTGAATAAGCTTGCTCCCAATCTCCTGTTATCAATTAATATTGACAATGATAGATATCGAATAGATTCAAAGTAATTGCACAAACAAAATATATTTTATCTATTTATGCTAATATATGTAAAATTTATATGTATTAGCATAAAATACATTTTGTTCATGCAATTATTTTGAGCTTATTGCAAATCAACTAACCATCGTCAAAATCCACTGGTTTTTCCTGGAATAAATTCTTCAAATTCTTCTTATTCTTTGTCTGCTCCACTTTGTTCTCTTTGCCAGCCTTAGTCAATAGCTGTTCCTTTTCTTTCTTAGTACCAACGATTTTGTTGTCTTCTTGTTTACGCTCTTTTAATTTGCCCTCAACATCATCTCCTTTGGTAGCTTTCTTAGGAGCTTCTACTTTTGCTGCTAATGTCTTTTTAGCTGGACTTGTTTTCTCAGATGCAATTTGTCCATTAGCAGCTTTCTATAACAAAATGTATAATACTTGATAAAATTGCATACATTATATGATATCAGATATTAAAATGTAATACCTAATGTTATATAAAAAATAACAACCTATTATAATATTGAAAGGAGTATATGAATAGTACACTTTTATTATTTGTCAATAAAATCAAATATTAAATTAACATTAAATTAAATGAAGCTTACATGCCCTTTATTATATTTATTGTTAAATGAAACTCTCTTTTTTATCACATATATTCATTTAGTTAGCACATATTTAAAATAGATGATCTAATTATAAGTTTTATTTATTATGAAGATAATCCTAAGTATTCTAAAAAATTCTTAAGGATAATTCCTCACAATTAATTCAAGATGAAAACTTTATATGAATCATATGTCCAAAACGGCTTAGTTTCAAAGATACAAGGTGTTAAGGTTGAAGGAACTTTCATTTTTTCCAGAAATATCGAAAACTACTCAAATTATCTTAATTAAATTTTGTATATGCTTCAAGGGCATGAAGACTAATCTTTGGGACTATATATTATTTTTTTATTCAATGAGGGGTAGATCTAAAGATAAACAGGTATCTTTGAAACTATGCTATTTGAGACATATGATAATAAAAGGTTTTCGTCTTAATTAATATAATGAATCACTCTTAAAATCTCTTAGAATATTTAAAGATGTATCTAAGCTATTTCAAAAATAGTACCAAATTGATGAAACTTCGGGAAACTCTTCCTTTGTTATCTATAATATACTAAAAAAAATTTCAAGTAGATTTACTAAACCATTAGAGAGTAATTATTATTTTAATTATGATTATAAAAATTTAATACTAGTGTACTGGCCAATTAATAACTTCTTTTAAGTATTAAAAATATTATTAATAATATTTTTAATACTGTGAAAATAAGTGATTAATTGGCCAGTATTAGTATTAAAGTTCTATAAGAGACGTTTTCTTATGGGAAATGCAACTTTGTCGAACGTAATTAGTAATAAAAGTATTGAAGAAATAATACCAAAAATTTAATTTTTTTTTATACGTATAGATCCTAAATTAACCATATTCTAGTCATAATAATATATTTATATTGTTTAAATAATGCATATTTATCTTTTTTAATCATATTCCAATTACTTTTTCCGTTTTGCACTGGTAAATAATGTTTTTTTTGTTATAGAAAGTTGAAAAATGACAAATAAAGTTAATAAAATATTGAAAAAGTGAAAAATAACTTTTTAAAAACAAATATATTGTATTATCTACCATTTATATAAGTTATCACTAGATTTACTACACGTTTGGCGCAGTTATGCAAATATTTCGAATTTGGGGGACTTTTGTCAATGATTGTATCTTACAATCAAATACGTTCTTAAAGAGCATCTTGTATGAATGTCACATTTAGTATCAATGTAAAGCTATAGGTATTTGAGTATTAAGGAGTAAGCAACTGGCTTTGAAAAGAGAAAGAGAGCAAATGGTTCAGTAGAAAGCGCTGATAAAAAGATCCATTTAGCGGTGAACGCGGCAAGAACGTGTGAGCAATATCCCGGGAACATGACGGGGAACGCCATGGACCACGCTGACAAAGCAAACAGACTTTGTCGCGACATTACATCACGAACGACGTACGGAGAGAAGGAAAACAGCCACCCCTCGCGAGACCACCCTCTTGAACCTGAGGGACCAGCTGATTATCGAGTGTGTGTGCGTGTGCATCGACTTGCGCCCACAAGCGAGCCACCATATGGCGAGTGAACGCGACGTGTCTAGGGGAAAAAAGAACGTGGGGGCAAGGGAGAGACATAAGGAGAAGAGGAGGGACGGCCAGGTCGCCGTACGACGTTTCACTAACCTTTTCACGGATCTTGCCGCGCTTCCTGGCAAGTTTCCGGTCCACGTCGGAGCCCGAGGAGAGCTGCGCAAACGGCGGCTGCTCGGCCTTCTTGAAGCCGAAGGCAAACACGAGAATGGCGCATATCAGCACGATACCCACAGGGATCGCGTACACGTATTGCGAGTGCTGCAGCAGCAGGCCGATGTGATCCATAGCGACGCACGATGTTGTTTGCGACGGAAACAATGAGCGTGGCGACCGGACAACCTGTGCGCGTACCCGCGGCAACAATATGCAGACGACGCACGGACAGTGACAACGATGACGACAACGATGACGACGGTGAACCACGGTGAACCTGACACGACGTGGCGCATAAAGCGCAAACCAGATCGCTCAACAACGCGGGCATGCGCTGCGCGCACTCTGGCGGGAGCGCGGCGAACTACCATCTGCCAGGTGGCTAAGGTGGCCGACCACCGGGCGCTGACGCGGCTGTGACGCGTATCGCGGCCACTTGCGGCACTTGCGGCCACCTTCAAGATGCCGCGCCGACTGTGACAACTTCACGCGGATGTCGCGCGAGAAATACGCAGTTTTTCAAGACAATATTGTTTGATGTTGAACTAGATAATGAAATTTAAATATTGAAAGCTAAATACAAATTATGAACATAAAATTTTTTTATCTAATTAAATGATTCCTTAATGAAAATTTGAATAACATATTTCTTAAAACTTTTCATACAATTTTTTAGAATGTAAATTTCTGAATTTCTGAATAATTTTATAATTTTTTTTAGAAAAACTCAGATTTTTAAATACATAATTGGGACATTCTTTAAAAATATCAAAAAAGTTTATATATTTTCTAAGATTCTTCATATGTATAAATTATAAAATATTTTAATTTCTCTATTTAAGATATTTTAAATTATTTTAAGTCTTTTTAAGTTATCAAAAAATTAAAGAGAAGCGTTTGAGAGCCGACGCAAGTTGTACGTGTGTAATTATATATACTTTAAATTATTATAAGAGACGCTTACATATACATTTTGATCCTAGTTTGGATCCTGTTCAATATAAATAAATATATAAATAAATGAACTTAATATTCACCATAAATTAATAATTTCTTTAAGTTATGTTAAGTTAGTATAAGTTAAGATATTTTTGCAGAAATTATATATAGAATGAAAAATCTAGAAATTTTAGAATATTTCAGAATTCACATTATGTATATATATATATATATATATATATAAATAAGAAATTCTAAGTGTAACTTTCTCAGTATTTCTGAAAAATATTTCGAAGATCTATTTCGCAAAATTCAATCAATTTTTCTAATTAGAAAAATATTTAATGGGATTTGTAATGAAAAGATAAACAATTTTCATTGCTAAATAAATAAAACTTTGCATGGTAGTCGAGTTTTGTAAAAATCTAATTAAATTCCGTATAAATCCTGTTAAAAACTGCAGTTGTTCGATAATAAACTGAATCTTTTCAAGAATTCTTGAAATATTTCCTCATGGCTCGCAACAATACGTAGTTGCGCAATTTGACGGTAAATCGGATAAATAGCGCTGAATAGCGCTGACCGCTGTACGTGCCGTCGCTTGAAATATCACATTGAGGTTATGTTTACAATCCGATATGCGAAATATAATACAATAACGCCGGAATTGTTCGTCGTTTAAGTTTTACATTCTACGCATGGTCAAACGTGGTCAAACGTGATTGATTATCGTCGGTCATGTGAAAACTCGACGTGACCTCGTTTATACTTTTTTGTTGCTGAACAACCGTCGTAATATCATTCCACGATCGCGTACGTGTCGTCCGTTTCCAATTTGATTTCTCGTCGTCAATCAATTACTAATTTTTTCACAATGCTGGAGGGAGTGAAGCACGTGCTGTTAGTACTTTCAGGAAAAGGCGGCGTTGGCAAATCGACGATCAGTACTCAATTGGCTCTTGCATTAAAGGAGTCAGGCTTTCGAGTGAGTGTGTCAGTCTCTCCACAAGTTACAAAAGTTCTGAAAGATTTGAAACACTTACCCTGATGAAAATTTTTCTCACAATTTTTTCTATAGTTCTCAAAATTTTTTGTAACTTCAGATTTCAGAATTTCTGAATATTTTTATAACTTTTTATACAATTTCTCAGATTCTTTGTATAAATTAGAACATTCATTTTTTGTAAGTACTGAGAAAGTCTCATCTTTTCTAGAATTCTTCATATATATGAATTTTGAAATATTCAAGACCTTTCATTCCATAATTTCTAATAAAATTCTATAAAATTTAAAAAAAAAAAAAAAGTTTAATATACTTTTTTTCAGAAATTATATAATGAAAAATCTTAGAATTTTTAGAATATTTCAAAATTCACATATATATATAAATGAAAAAACAGGTTTGTATCTCACACACACACAATATTTCCCAAGTGTTTCAATTCAAATGCAACGATCTGTAAATCTGTCTTAAAAAATTACATTAAAAGTGTAAAGACAAGCACAAAGTATATATTTTATAATGTTTTTAAGCAAAATCATTTTCTAAATATGATACGATATATATTGAAAAATGAAATGGAAAAAATCAAATATTTACAACATCATGAAGTAATTAAAACAAATTATGAATTACCACAGGTTGGGATTTTGGATGTCGATCTCTGTGGTCCCAGTGTGCCTTACTTACTGAATTTAGAAGGAAAAGATGTTCATCAATCTTCTGAAGGGTGAGTCCTTTATTACTTGAGCATTGATTCCTTAATAATTATTATAATAATCAGGGGCCCTATTCTCTATAACTTTTAATGCAACAATGTTGATATCGTTATATGTCATTGTGCAGTTTTTTTATCATATAAAATATCTGCGCAACGATACTGTAACGATATCGGCACTGTCGTTCAGAGTTATTACAGAATAGGGCAGCATGCTGCTAATAAGTCATATGAATCGATAGATGGATACCAGTATTTGCCGATTCAGAGCAGAAACTATCTGTCATGTCGATTGGTTTTCTCCTGAAAAGTCAAAACGATAGTGTGGTCTGGCGCGGACCTAAAAAGAATGGTATGATCAAACAGTTTTTATCAGATGTGGTTTGGCGGGATATCGATTATCTGATCATCGACACACCACCTGGTACTTCTGACGAGCACATTACAGTCATGGAGAATTTAAGGTTAATCTATGAATAATATTATCCATGTATAAAATTTATATTTAATAGTAAGTAAAGATCAACCAAAAAAAAGTTGTTCAATATAAATAAGTAAAAAAGGCCACATTCAGTCAAAGCGTGTCTTGGTGATTAATAATATTTTTGCTTAAACTAGAAATTGTCAGTGAAACATAGTCCTAAAAGCTGAAGTATAATATCACAAATTACATTGATAAGAAATAATACTGATGCTAATGAGCATTTTTAAAACATGTTAAAATACAAAGAATTTATTGCAGAAATAAAATTGAAAGTTTACACAAAAATATATATTATTGGAAATCAACTCTTGTTTTGATCGAATATGGTCTTTGCTCATTTGAATTTTTTATTTTACATGAGATAAATTACAATATTTAGTTTTTTTTCACTCCTACACTCTCTGAACTGCTGATACACACAGTTCAATAAGTTGAAGTAAAACAAATATACATTCGCTTCAACTTATTGCACCATGTGTACTAATTCAGAAAGTGCAAGAATAAAAAATAGACCTTCTGTCTAACTACATTATAACAAGACATTTGTCAACTAAAATTATTACAGAAATGTAAAATGCGATGGTGCAATAATAGTGACCACTCCACAAGCAGTTGCAGTAGATGATGTTTTGCGAGAGGTGACATTTTGTAGAAAAACTGGTATTCACATAATCGGCATCGTTGAAAATATGAGTGGCTTTGTCTGTCCTTCATGTACAGTAAGTACTCTTTTCTATTTGCAGTTGTAATTAATGTAAACAATTTAATAACAATATAAAAAATAAATATTAGGAATGTGATTTAGTTTTGAGGGTTTTGCAAGAGATGGCATTAATGTTAGTATTATCAAAGACATTCCAATCACAGCTATTATTTTTTAATGCTTTGATGCTATTCCATGATATTTAGTCGTTCACAGTCGTTTACTAACAATAGATGCAGTAAACATCGTGTTTATACCATTTTAAAAATTAAGCTTTCTAAAGAGCAATTTCGTCATGTGTTGCTTTTGTTTTTTTAAGCAGAAGAAAACAGCTGAAGATCATAGATCTTTGATAAAAACTTATGGTGATGATGTTCCATCAATTAAGATGTGTGAATATTGATTCTATCGATTCAAAAGTAATGATTTCAATGTTAACGATAAAAGCTGGAAAATGCAGATTTGCAAGCATTATTGGACGAAAATTCAACACGATCCACGTCAGAACTTGCCAGAGAATTAAATGTTGATTGTAACAGTTATTAAACGTTTACGTGATATGTTGTTTAAATAAATCAGTTTTTGAGAAAAAAAACCCTCAAAACTAAATCACATTCCTAATAATATAAAAGGCTATGGCCAAGTGAGATGTTTATTGCTTAATAATTATTAAATTTTGCGAACAAAAAATACACAAACGTTTTGACTCCTATCGAATCATTATCAATGTAACAATTTAACTTAAACCATATAATCAGTTAACAATTTAAAATAATCGAGATGTCAGTTAAACAATTAAAAAGAAAAAAGACGTGGTCTTACAAAATTCATTCGCATCATTATGATATGGTATTCCATGTTTTATATATTGATTATTTTAAATTATCACATTAATAATAATCCAATAGGGATCAAAATGTTTGTGTATTTTTATTTACAAAATTTAATAATTATTCAGCAATAAACATCCCGTTTGGCTCATAGCTCTTTGTCTAATTAATGTAATTGTTCAATAGTTTTATTAATTAATAAATCTTACTTTTTACACAGGAATGCACCAATATATTCTCCTCAGGCGGTGGGATAGCTCTCTCTGAGATGGTGAAGGTTCCATTTCTAGCTAAAGTACCAATAGACCCACAAGTCGGCCAGTTAGCAGACAAGGGACAAAGTGTTTTGGTGACATTACCCGACAGTCAAGTCGCACAGGTGTTTAGAAAATTAGTCGAAGAACTCACCAAGAGTAAGGAAGCTTGAAAACAGTATTTGTACTGTGCATGATTTCCAGCATTACATGTGGTATTTGCTCGTGATGCTTTACCGTCATCTCTATCCTAGATAAACTTGTTTACAGAAAATTGTACATACAAGTATCTTTGTGAGATAACTGTTTTTATACTAGTGTATGGAATTGTAAAAGAAATAAAGAATGTTATTTTACCATATATAATATTTACCATATATAATATTTGCATATATCGTAAAAAAGGACAGGAGAATCAAAAAGCAAGAAATGAATCTTGATTTATAACAGGCATTTTTTTTTTACATTATAAGTTTTATTCCATTTTATTTCTTCCCTCAATAATATTAATTCAATGCAAGTTCAATTTGCTTTAAACCCGTGTCAGATTATACATTGAAAGTTGAGGACTGTGAATTGGAGATTAGAGTTCAACTAAGTAGAATGAAACGGATTAAAATTATCCGATTGGTCAAGTTCTAAAATCTTCAATTCGCAATTCTCAATCTCCAATGCATAATCTAGCTTTAGAAATGCTTTTTGAGCTATTATGATATTGTAGAGACACAGCAGAAACAATACCTAACCAATACTGTCTGTACAATGTATCTTGTACAACGCAAATTCTTTTGCATATAAATTTCTGCTATTGTATATATAATATTCATTTGTTTCCCCAACCCCAAAGACCCTTAACAAAGCCGGTAAGACCAGCTTGTCCTCTCTTAGCCTGATCGCCCATTTTATGTGACAGATCAGGAAATTCAACCATGTTGAAAGCCAGATCGAAGAACAAAGGTTTGCAGGGAATGCTGCGCATCGGTGGTGGCAGTTTATAGACGTTTGGTTGTTTTGTGAGAAGCGCCGGATCTTCTCTGTACTCGTGCAAACGTTCATACAATGGTTTCTTACTTTTAGCAAGCTTACTAGTTCCACTTTCTTCTTCCTGACCATCCTCTAAAACGCTGTGAGCGTGAGCAGCATATTGCGCAGCCTCCACAGAGGTTTCCAATTTGTACAAGGCTTCCTTGAGTTCGACTGGAAGAATCTTATCATATTTAATTGCGTCTTTAACATGCTGCAACGATCTTTGATACAAGGCCATAGCCTCACGCCAACGATGCAAGTTGGCGAGGCTCTGGGCCATGTAGAAACATCTAAAGGCCCTGTAACATTTTGTCTTTGCTTCCTGTTCCTCCAAGAATTCTGTATCATCTTGCAACTGAGATATCTCCACAAGATTGTGCAACGCTGCCTCGTACAGGCGTACTATGTCCTGCGGCTTGGCTTTCTCCAATTCCTCTGCCGCCTTCACCAGCGTCAGATTGCGTTCCAACGTGCGAGATAGTCGGATATATTGCAGATAATTGATCAGATGTTGCTGTGGTGACCACTTATCATTCTCCTTGTTCTTCAACTCGGTCTTAAAATGATCACGCACTGCCAATAGAGCATCTTTGCAATCTATCAAATGCGCCTCCAGCAGATCAATTTTCGCTTGATTGGTGGCAGCTCTTTCCAGAGCTTGGTTCAATCTAGAGTCTGCAATGATCAGACCAGCTGCTCGTGGCGGCACTGTACCGCAGGATTTTCCACGCCATGTCACTTCCTCAATATTAGCCTGCTTTTCCCGCGTCTGAGCTATCAAAGAGTCTAGGCTGGCCATCAGTTCGCCGCTCAATTGCCCGCGCATCTGCATGAGATCATCCATAGCACTAGTGTCTCCAATGTTATAAGCGCAGTATCTAAGACTAGGCGCTAATTCCTCGACTCGCGCCTTATATACGACCTGTTCTAATTCTGGCAACGCAGATGCCAGATTACCATATACCACTTGTGCCTTCTTCAAGTTTTCCATAGCCTGTTTCCACAGTTGTAATTCAAACTGTAGAGAACCATTCATCCAGGCTACGTATGCCTGAGCCTCCAGTTTCGTACGCGCGTCACAATTTATATTCTGAACAGAAAAAACATAATGAAATAAAATAGTCTTGGCAATGTCATACAAATAATAATCAATGAAAAAAAATGAAAAAATTAAGCTATACAGCCAAAAATTTTTGACCAACATAATTTTACAATTTTTTATCAATCTACTTTTTAATTTATATTATAAATTAATAAAATTCTTGTTATAATTAACTTAAAAACACAATATTTTAGAATATATAAAATACTTATATGCTAAAAAAATGTACCTCTATTAAATCTTGCAATTGTAAAGAGTATGCAGCAGCTTTCTTGAGTCTCGATATCAAATGAAACTTCTTTCTTGGCTCAGTATTAGATTCCTGACGTAGTTGCATCGCATAGCTCCACGCGCGCTCGGCCATCATCAAGGGAACTTGTAAAAATTTATCCTCGCTGACCATAGTCGCAGTGACGTCTCTCCTCTTGAAATGACGTCTGTCGCCCTGCGGCACTTTCAACACCTTCCGCAATCTTCTCAGCCTTCTCGAGCAATAACCACGATATCGCTGATAATCGCCATGTCTCAACCCATGTTGTTGCTGTGCTTCCTTGATTATCTTTAGAACTATATGTTTGTCAGGAATTGATAAGGACAACAGAAATTGAAATTGTATAAATTAAATTTATGAATTAAAATCAATTTTTAAACCAAATTAAGAAATTTTTTGCTGTGTTAATTAGCTGCATCATCAAAATACCTGTGGTGTTAAAATACCTTGTAGGTATTTTTTCCAGCAACAGACAAGTAACACGGTATAACACAGTGAATTATTTCATCTTTAATATTTGCAAACAAGGATGTAATAATATAATCTGTGTTCCTTGCTGGAAAAGATTCCATATTGACTGTTTTCCATGCTGGAAAACACTCATAAATAATTATATCAAAATAATTCTTCACTAATCGAAAGCAAAGATAAGAAATGATCAAATTGGCATCTTCGACAGTTCTAGCAGGATATTATCAACAGTTTTAATGTTAATAGATTAATATCCCAATGATAACTCGCGACGGCGAGAGGTTACGAAGAAGCATATGGCACTGACAGTTCTATCAGAGACCCGAAGAAAATTTTCACGAAAGGATACTCTCCAGGGTATAGGTTCTCGACTCTTTTGTCATAACTCCATTTTGGGTTTGGTTTTCCTTCGAAAGATCCAACTTTTCTTCGATTACCATTCTTCCTCAAAACTACGTACTCCTATCTTTCACTATATCTTTGTAAAAAAAAAAATTATAAAATATGTATACCCACGATATAAATATAAAGCTGATTCTACATTGATCGCATCGCAGCGTCGCAAGCGTGTCGCAAGCGTTATGGTCCAATCAGAGTCGAGCTAGCTTGACGTTGATTGGACTGCAACTTTTGCGACGTTGCGATGCGACTAATGTAGAACCAACTTAAGGGTCAAGAGTATGCCATGCTTATGCGCATTGCGCATAGACGTGACGGTCAAGCTGCCAATCAGAATTGTCACCAAGTACGTCATCATTAGACCGGAATCAGACTAGGCATTGAAGATTGACCTTGCTTTCCAGCAAGGACACAGTCAGGCCGGAATCAGACTAGGCATTGAAGATTGAGGTTGAAGATTGAAAATTGAAATTTGACCAATAAGGACAAAGAAATTTTAGCTCCTTTCGTTTCGATTGGTTAAATTTCAATCTTTCAATCTTCAATCTCAATCTTTAATGCCTAGTCTGATTCCGGCCTCAGACACTGTGTAAAGCTGGTTTTACATTAGCTGCGTTCAGCAGAACGTTTGTTTTACAACTGTTGGAAGTTTCCTTCGCGCTGATTGGATCATACTTTTAGATCTAGAAGAATGGTCCTATCTCAGCAGACAATCGTAAAACGGTTGCAAAACTGTTGAGTCTGCTGAACGCAGCCAATGGCTGCGTTCAGCA